CTAGGTAGGTAGCTGGATATTCCAAAAATGTAGTTCAAAAGTTTATCGAAGGGTAGTCTCCCGAAAAATATGGGATTTTGCTCAGGACCTTCTTTCTCTTCTAGTGGGTTTGTTTCAACCACTACGATTGGAGCTTTCTATAGGAGGGATTTTTTCCTTGCCTACAAAAGATTAAAGCTGGATATTTTCCATGTTTTCTGTAAAAATGCACCATTTTCTTTCACCTTTTCAACTAATCCCACCAAATTCACGCTTCCCAAAGATGTTTTCTCTTCAATCGTGAAGAACCACTCCTGTTTACTATCATATCTTCCAACACTTAACAAGCTTCACCTTTCCAAAACAGAGGTGTTTTTACTGCTGATGGACCACAATCTCGAGCAATCTCTCCTAAAGATGTCTTTGGAGGCGGATATACCAATAGATATTCAAGAGGGGGAGGAGTTTAGTGCGATGATTCAGAGCGAACACAGTTTGATTGGTCGGCTCTTGAACCCGGAATGCCAAAATATGGCTCGTATGCTCTTGACGATGCCAACGATCTGGAAGGTTTATGAAAGAGCGAGGGGTATCGCTCTGTCTCGAGAAAGATTCTAGTTCTTTTTTCAACACGAGACTGACCTTCTAACGGTTATGCGCTTTGGTTTTTGGACATTCGATGATTGGGGCCTGGTTATGGATCGTTGGGTTGAGAATCCACCGTCAAACTTTTTGAAAGAAGCAGCAGTTTGGATAAGGATTCATAAGATCCCCGGTAATTACTTCACGTTACAAACAATCAAAGCTATTAGCCATGGGATTGGTCACGTTCTTGAAGTGGCGTTTGACCCATCTAAGCCTCACCTTAAAGAGTATGTTCGTGCTCATGTGGTGATGAACCTGGACCACCCTGTTCGTGACAACAAAACGCTAACCATATCAGGAGGACGTACGGCCACAGTTGAGGTGGAATATGAACGCATTCGGAAAAAATGTTTTCATTGTCTCCGGTTATCTCATGAGAAGCAGAGGTGTCCTCTGTTTCTGGGACAAAAACAGAGTTTGAAATACGCGCAAGATACAGTATTAAACGGGTCCAACCAGGAAGATGAACGACGTCAACACCATACTAATCTTGTGGAGAAATTGATGCCCTTGTTGGCACCTTCGGTTCCTCCAGGTTATGCTCCATCATCTTCAGTTGTGATTTCAGAAGTTTCCGAACAAATGAAGACTTATTTGTCTTGTTTGGATCCTCATGAAAGATACATTCGCGAGCAATTGATGATTAAAACTCTCAATGAATTATCTAAAGACCCGACAGCCCAAAGTTCTTGTCTACGTCTGGAAACTCCACCAACAATTACCAAGAATTTGGAAAAGGGTAAAGGAAAAGTTTTTGATTTCAGCAGCTCCAGCACAGTTCCAGTCTCAACGACAACTTRGCCTCTTTCGGCAGCTAACATTCCTCCACAGCCAACCTCGGGGTTTAACAAGGGACTTTCAGATGGTATTTTTGAGGGTACAAGAAGCCGTATGAGCACTTCTCACAGGCGTCCATCCTCGTGGTCTACAAAGGGGGGAAATATAGCGACTAACAAGAGCTTGCAACATCAATCTAGAGATGAGAAAGCTTTATCACTCAACAAGAGAAAGGCGAGTCACAAAAAATACCCAACTGCCAAAATTTCAAAYTCTGAAGATGGTTCGATGGTTCACCAGAAACCGTCCAGTACTGATAT